CAGCCGAGACAAACAAGTGGCTAATGGGTGAAGGGTTGGAGGGCTTGGTGCCCTGCACCACCACCTGTGACACAGAGACCCTGCACTTTGTGAGCATTAACAAGTACCGCGTCAAATACGGCACGATATTCAAGACGCCATAAAGCTCCCCCGGGGCGAGGGAAGAGCCCGGGAGATGTGTGTGTGTGTGTGCGCGCATCGAGGAGAGGAGGAAGATGCCTTTCTCCCCTCACCGTGATTCTCCGTAACATGGCCACTTGACTAGTGCGTGGCTGGTACAAGCTGTCACCAGCGGGATTCCCTGGAGGGACGCGGATCTCCGCCGGCGCCCGCTGGGACCGCCGGCCCTTCGCCTTCGGCACGCGTCCCCGGAGGGCGGGAAGGACCCTTCTCTGAACTGAGCCATCCCAGAGAAACACGACGAGCTCGTACACACCAGCAGTGCTGAGGTTTTGACTCCCCGGAGGCCCTGAGCGGCGCGGGAAGAGAACCGGAGGCTCTCCACGACCGGACCGCTTGGATGTGTCCCGAAATCCCCAGGTGCCTGTCGCGACCGGATTCTCCTCCCTTTCACGCTGTCCTGCGCGGGGCCGTGGGGCAGCCCCATGCCACCTCACGGAGCGGGCCCTGGGTTCCTCCCGCCTCCCTCTCCTCCCTCCCAGGCTGGACTCACCCCGTGCAGATCGGTCTGTCCTTTCTAGTGCCAGTGGAACTGTTTCTTTTAATTTGTTTCGTTTCGTTTTGTTTTGTACCTGCTTGTTTACTAGTCTCTCCTAGTGCCATGCACCAGCTTTTCACACACATGTATGTACACACACACAACAGAGAACAACACGATTTTAACATGTTCCCTTCCTTTTTTGTAAATAAATGTACAAATTGTCAATTTTTTTTTTTTTTTTTTTTTTTTTTTGTTTTGTTTTGGTTTGGTTTTTTAATTGAAGGAAGTATGCTTGATGTGCTAGCATAACTGTACTAGCTTCTTGTGTACCATAGTACCAGGTGGCTTGAGAATTAGTACCTACAGACAGACCGATGGAGACATTTATTACACTTTTTACCAAAGGGAGTTATCATTGTAGTGCTTTTGTGTGGGAAAACTCTTTTTTCCTTTTTTTTTTTTTTTTTTGGTAAATAAAAACAATGTCTTTGTTCTTAACTGGAGGAAGATGCTCGCTCACCCACAGCCCTGTTCCTGGTCTGAAAGGCACCGTGCAGCATGCAGTTTTTGGGGTGGGGAAGGGGGGCGGC